TCCCTTTCTGGTGATCTGTATCTACCACATAGTTAAGGAAATCTCATCCTGGGTCCCCATTTCAAAGACACAGGGTTTGGAACCCATGAGAGAGAGGATGCAATGGCGTGCAAGACAAGAAATGGTGATTTATCCAAGCTAGTCAGAAAAACTACCCTGCATTTTTGTCAGCATCTTTGGGGTGGATTTGTATCTCCCCAGTTTCTGGAGCTGTGCTGGAAGTTGAGAATCATATTTTATTGAATGTAAGGAAGCCAAATGAAGTGGGACCACTGTTCCCAGGGGAAGAAGAGTGGCTAACATCAGAAGGGGGAGTCTGAAAGACGAGAGCAGTGCATGACCCTGTGGGTGGGAACCACTGTCCTAGCCCCGCTCACGAAGGATGGTGTGACCGGCGCATGCTTCACGCCCTGGGACCGAGCCGTGCGCATGCTGCTTTAGTGGAAGAGATCATGTCATGAGAACAAACATTTCCTCAGTACTTTTGAAAATATCAGTGAAAACTACAATCCCAGCAGACCCAGATTTCATTCCTTGGAAATGAGAATAAAGTCCATTTTTTTTTCTAGATGACAGTCGTTATCTGGAAAGAAGTTTGGGTTTTGTTTGGGGTTCTTTTGTATACAACATATGGTAAAATATTTTGATGTGAAGCTGATGAATTATTGTCTGATGATTTTACTGCTCTGGCTGCCAGATAAGAACACAATTGTCTATATTTGCTGCATAAACATACTGTTATGAACCTGAATGTTACTTCAAGTGTTAACCTTCAGGATTCAGTTAATGAGGAAGGCTTCAGCTCAGGTAACTTTAACTTAGATTAGAGACCTGCTTTTTGCATTTCTCATCTAGATCTTTCTGTGGTCAATAAGAGCCAAGTTCCCCAAGTATAAAGTTGTCCCAAACTGAACCACACTCTCCTCATTCACTGGTTAGAGTTGCTGATTTCCGATTGACTATAGAAATGGGTCTAAAGAGTAGTTTTAGACAGGAAGTTTAACTTCTTTAACAGCTTAAAACAGATCAGATGAGCTCTAGCTCATAAACCTAAGATGCTCAAGCAACAGTCTTTGGAGAATAGTTTCTTCCTAAACTGACTCTTATCAGCAGGGATAGCTGCAAAACTCTGAAAAGAAAATCTGGGAATGTTTTCAGTTTGTATTATCTAGCTTAAGTCCCACCATACTGAAAACACCAAGAAACCCCACCCCACAAATGAGCATGCCAACATATGCAGAGGAAAATGTCATTGCAAATAAGTAGGGTTTTGTGCTGAATGCATAGGAAGTTTTTGTTCAGATTTTATCTATGAGGAGGATATAAAATCTTGTTAAGTCCCAGTCTTTCATAGCTCTATGACAGATTTATGCATATCTTGCTTATATTGCTGTCCTATACTTAAAAAAAAAAAAAAAAGCCACTGTATTAATATATTGGATACTTTGCATCATCTACTGACCCTTTTCCTTCTGGTCTGGTCCCTACAGGTCCTCACCTCACTTTATGCCTCTTTTTTTCTGGTATGCAAGGCAGTTATCACAGGAGTTTTAAAGGGCAAACTTTGGGACAGCTGGATATGTGTTTTGAAGAACGAAGCAAGTTTCTGGAGAGAGAGTTAGAGGCCACATGTAATGACAAATGTATTATTTTAATGTAGTACTAAACAGCTTTTTTACAAACAACAGCAGTCTTTTGCCTCACCTATTTTTCTGCTTCTTTGCCATTCAGGTTCTGTTCCTTAAAGATATTTTTCTCTTGAGAGTTTCTCCATAGTGTTACTAACTCAGATCTTGTGACATTTAGTACGTTGCTCGAAGTCAGTGTGTAGTATGTGACCACTTGGCTCTTCCTTTCATTTGAGATTCATCTATCAATCATCTATTGTCAGTGACCTGTAATCCTCCCACCTGGAGAGAAGAAAGCTGATCTCCACAACAAACCTGTTGCACAATGTTTTCAGACCCAGAAACAAACTTGGTCATTTTATTATCACAGAACAGATCTCCTCATCCTAAAACTGCTTTGGCTTCTCCTTTGTTCTATCTTATTCCACAATCTCCTTCAGTCTGCACAGATCACCACCAGGGTGTCCATGCCTCATTGCTCTTTTTTCTTTATATTAAAGAAATTCTCACTCTCACAAGCTCGCTCTCTCTAACACCTTGAGGCCCATCAATTTATATTGCCTGGCTGACTCTGTTATCACTTAACTAGATTTTTGGTGCATTTCTTTGGATTAAATTTGTTTTCAGTGGTGATGTGCCATGATTCTATACTCTTCTTGACCATACTACTCAAAATTAATTCCTCCTTCAGACTTTGATTTATTAATGAAACGAGAATTTATTTTCACTACTTTACCCACCCAAAATTCCACATGCAAATAATTCCATTGACTTTTACTTCCTAACCTTTATATTTAGTGCCCTTTTCAAACTTGCTCATTAGTTTTCTTCTCCTGTATATATTTGCCCTATGTATGGCAGCTGAGTGCTTGAAGAATCCAAATTTCACAGAGAATTGAAATATCTGTCTTGTAAAGCAGTACTGCTCTCAAAAGTGGTCAAACAGAGATGTGAAAGTGATAAAGAAAAGAGAGTGCAGGATCTGCCTAAGTTAGTAGAACGCAAATCACTTGCTGGGACTCTGCACTCACCATCAGTTCAGTTGGCAGAACCTTGGTGGGCAAAGCAGATCAAGATTCCACCCCAAAAGCAAGAACTCTGGAAATAATTTTTAAAGCTGTTTTATATTTTAAAATGCATTAACATATTTTAAAGCCATTTTGCATTTTTAATAATTTTTAATTTTTAAAGAGTTCTTAAGCTCAAATGTGAGATTTTTCAAAACGTATCTTATCACAAATGTCAACAAGCAACATCTTTTTCTACAATTTTTACTCCATATATTTGTCTGCAGTTTGTGCATCTTTCCCCCATGCCATGAATTCTTCAGGAAATATATTAGGGCAAAATTTGAGTAATGTAGATATCATTCATTTAAACTGTTGTAATTCTTCACTCAAATCCATGTTTTTATCTCCTGGAAATAGGAGGACTCTTCAGGACTAAATCTATGTCTCTGTACCCAACTCCTCCTTAGCTGCCACTTCAGTAGTCACACACACGTGCAATTCATCCATGCAATGACAGGGCAAGTGTCTGGACTTCCTAGGCTGCAGAAATTACATTCACAAGTATTTTCATATCAAAAAGAAAAATCAGAAGGGTTGGAAAAGCTTCCCACACCCAAAGATTTAGTTCTTGCAACTTTTCTGATAGGGAATCCCATATTTCATTACTCCCTGGGTCAAAGATATATTAATCAGAAACAGACAGTTGAGATGAGAACCCCAGTAATTCATGTAAAAAACCCCCAAAAAACAAACAGCACAAAAACTTGCAACGGCCGTGATGCTCAATGCTCAGATAAAATCCATTGTGGTGGGATACTGCAACAGACAGAGCTCTGAGGTAGAAATGGGTCTTTCTTTCACAGCTGCAAGGTCTGCACACACATCTCCATCTTTGGCCACTATGTCCTTGCACAGTGGACCCTCCCCACTCTTGCCTCTCCTGCCAGCAGGTTTAGTGGCTGCAGCTGAGCATCCTGCAATGATACCTCACCTGTTAACTCCTTCTTCTGGTAGCCATGGCTGCTGATCCTCCAGCTCTGCTCTCATCTGTGGGTCTCAGAAACCTCCCAGCTATAACAGCCTCTTCCCTCCCTGCACTCAATTTACTTGATCTGGTGGTTTTTTTGGGTTGGTTGGGGGGTTTTTTTGGTTGGTTTTTTTTTTTGGTTTTTTTTGTTTGTTTGTTTGTTTGTTTTTTATTTTTATTTTTTATTGTTGTTTTTTTGTTTGTTTGGTTGGGGTTTTTTTAAACAAATGTGCAATTAACAAATATTTGAGCAGGAAAGCGAACTAGCAAATCAAATATTTATACCATGTATCACCTACAAAGTGTTCAGAACATATATAAGCTGATAAACTCCTCCTATTCCTGTTGCTGTTTTAGTGGTATTAGTGCTTACCTTTAAGATCATTATAGTCATCAGGCTGTCAGGAGGGTTAGTGGTGCTGGTAAAATGGCAGGTAGATGAAATTCTATCTCTGTGTTGTCACTGAAGGACAAATATATTCAGACAGTCAATCTGTAAAAGGACAGACAGTGCAAGAAATAATCAGACGAATAAAATTTGTCACTTCACTACAACTCCTGTAAGTCATGGTGCAGAGAAGACAGGGAATCCTGCACTACCATGTCCTTAATCAGTGCTTGGCAAAACCTTGCCAGAGTTTTGCTGGTGATTTATTTGGTTCACAGCACATCTGACTTTATTTTATTCCTGCCTGAGAGAGCTGAGGTTGTTACATTTGGATAAGAGATGCTCTGAGGAGACTTTAGAGCACCTTCTAGTACCTAAAGGGAGACTGCAAGAAAATGGGAGAGGTGCTTTTAACAAAGGTGTGGAGTGACAGGATGAGGAGGAATGGCCTCACACTGAAAGAATGCAGGTTTAGATTAGACATTAGGAATAAATTCCCCACTGGAACCACTGGAACAGGTTGCCCAGAGATGTTGTGGATTCTCCATCCTTGGAAGTAATTTAAGGCAAAGATGAATAGGGCTCTGAGCAGCTCAGTCTAGTGAATGACATCCCTGCCCATGGCAGTAGTTTTGTTTCATGTCTTTATAATAAAACTACTGCTTCAGGTGTGCTACGTGAGCTGAAGCACTGTGACACCTTGCATAGAGAGGATAGCATGGCCCTCTGGAAACATTTTCAACACTGATACCAAAAAATGCTCATAAAAAGCAGTTCATTATCTGTGGACCTTAACTGTTGCTTACAGAGACATTGGTAACTATGGTAGCCCCAGCAGTGTCCTTGTATACAAAACAATTATTTAGCCTATTATATAGTTAAAGCATCATGAAAACAAATTAATAGTGTACAAAGGAGGAAAATGATTACTTTTGCTTATTTTGTAGCCAAAAGCTGGGTCTCTTGGATCGGGTTCGTGGTACCAATACTAAAGGAAAGCTATTTACCCCTCTGAATGTAGATGCCATTGAAGAAAGTCCTTCAAAAGAGCCTAAGAATGTTGTCTTGAATAATAAGGAGCGTTTTCGCACTGCATTCCGAATGAAAGCATACGCTTTTTGGCAAAGCTCAGAAGGTAGCCCATCTGTGTTGATTTCTTTCTATGCATCCCCTGTTCTCCTCATTTTACTTTGTTTTTCTGCATATTCTGTTGAAGGTTTGTGACTTTCTGGGATAAGGATGTCTGGTACCTGGTTTTATGTAGTACGTTAGGAGAAGCCCAAGAAAAAGAGTCCTGGAGTCCAGGCAAGACAGTGCTTGAAATCAAACACCAGCCCTTCTCAAAACCAGCAATTGATATGGGGTAAAGCCAGTGCTGGCTTCAGCCTGTTTGGCCTGGAAAAAGTGGGCACACTGGGCAGTCAATCAGTATCCTCCAAAAAGCACACACCACCATGGCTTGGTTTATGAGCAAGGATGCCAAGCTAGCTCCCTCCTGGACTGCATCCAGCCCTGCAACAGCCTGTGTCCAGGCATCTCAAATATACCCTCACTGCCATCTCATTAAATCTCGTTTATAGAGTCAATGTCTTGTTCCCTCCCCGTCACTCCCCAAGCCTGCTGCCCCTCAGAGGTTTCCTTTGGGTCTCCATGCAACATTATAGGGCATTTTTCCTCTCAGCTTCCCTGAGCACACATTTTCCTCTTCTTGCCCATAACATCAAAATGGTCTTTAAATATGAGGTTCCCCTTTCTTATGCCAGCTGGCACCAGTGCATGCTGGACATGCTACCATGGATGTAGCCTGGGTATCCACACCAGGAACTTGATTTTCTCCTTTATGAAGATATATGAGCTCCAGGTCATGCCAGTGAGAGTAGAACTTGCCCTGTGGCTTTACAACTTGTTTTAGCCTTTATGTAAAATAATTTGGGCAAAGATCTATTGGAAAGGAAGACAAGTTCCAAGTGTTTCATGAATGCTGGAATCTGAAAGGAGGTCCTTCAATAACGTGTCTTACAGCTGTCCCAAAATAATTAAATCCCTTTCAAGACCTGACCAGTGAAAGAAGCTGTAAGAGATATTTCTTTATTGAATTGCACTAACTTTATGTAGTGCTTTATTCAGCCAGACATTCCTCTAAATATTGTGTGGTGAGATGTTCACATATCTGGTTTTTTGACCTGCTTTGCAGATGCAGGAACAGGGGAACCCATGGCAGAAGACAGAGGTGACAGTAGTGATTTCCCTATGGAAGATATGATCCCCACATTCAAGACAGCCATCCGAGCTGTCAGGTAAATGTCTTTTTGCAGGATGATGCTTCAGGAAATAACATTACCATGTTGCTACATGTTGATGCACTGTTTCTGTTATTATTTTTTTAATGCAATAGATGAGATAATTCTAGTGTTTTCAAAAACATGAGACAGACCCTATTCAGTCTGTTGAAGTTATGCAGAAAGGAGAATGTTTTTCAGTAACATTGACCATGTCATTTTGCAAGATACTCCACAGTGTTTTTATTATAAAATAATATTTTGTACTGTTCCTTGTTAAAATGTTATAGAAATGTATCTTTCTTAATTTAGTGACTAATATTTATATGAAAGTGGAACTTTTGCTTAACAAAAAATCTGAGCTGACTCAACTCTTTATTCACAATTATATGAGTGTGCAACCTACTTTTCAGCTGTCATATTTTAATAGATGCTGAGGTCTCCATTTCAGCAGTTTTTGGCTTGTGACATGTGTCACCTCTATTTTCACATCACAAGAGATATTCCTTAGGGTTAGAAAACTCCTAGTAATCCTTGGTCATGTGTTTAGCACATCAAGCAAATAGAATTCATTCACTCATGCTCTGTTACTCTTTGATGCAGTACTTTTGACTCTCCTCCCTTGAAAAATGCCCCCATGGGAAAATACTCTGCTTTCATTGCAATTGCTGTTTATTCCAGAAGTTGTTAATTTTTGCGCCAGGGACTTGCCACCTTCTAGGTGAAATACTGCCAGCCTGGAGTGTCTCACATTTATCTTAGAAAAACTTCAGGGAAGATGATAATAAAAATATAACCATATATTTATATGTATATAACCATAATATGTATGGTTACGTACATGTTATGTAACCTCCTGGCTCTTTTTTAATTGGGTGCAGGAGAATCAGTTTCTAAAAATTCCAAGCTTTCTAAAGGATGCTGAAAGCCAAGCGTCACAGGCTTTGCTCATATTACCCATGACTTCTTCCCTCCCATTGGAAGGTTCTTCATCTCTGTTCTCCACAGCTTTCCCTTTCTTTCCCTGATAGCTGCTTTCTTTCAAACATGTTATTGTTACTTTTGAAAAACTCCTTCCCCACATCCTGTCCAAATCTAATTGATTCATACAATTTCCATTTAAACTCAATCAGGAGCCAAGATTTTTTTTCTTGTGTAGGCTACCCAGATCCTGAACATTAATTGAGAGTAATTCTTTCAGACAAAAACACTTAATGGATATTGGGGTCATGATCAAGGAGACGTTAAATTAGAATTGCTAACATTGTGATCCCTATTTTTCCTTTAAGTCTTTAAATTTGTAGTTTTGCTGTTACCATATCTAATTTGGCAAAATTAGGCACAGGTATAATTTTGAAACCTTGAAATATTTATAAGCAATAGAGTTAAAGAATCAGCAGCCCTTAAAAAGTTGTAATATAATTATCTTTCCTAAATGAAAGTTTATACAGACTTTAAATACATTGAAAAACCCACCAACCTTAAATAAAAATCAAGTTAGAATCTTAACAGATGACAGCAATTTCCCGGTTCAGACAAACAAGTACCTGGAGACTCTATTGAGAAAGCAAACATCCAGAACCCAAGTCTAAACCAGATGAAAATAAAGATTTCATTGTTTAAATATATTTCTTCTATTGGTTTAATCTACCAAGATATATATATATATATATATATATATATATAATGTAATGTATAAACAGAAAAGGATGAAAAATGAACGCCAAACATTTTACAAGTGCTCTGGCCAGCAGTGTTCCTTGTTATAAGAATTCTGTTACTAATTACTAGCTCATTTTATAGCAATAGTAAGATTAATCATATTATTATCATTACAACAACAAAAACAATATGATACTGCTGTTGTCTTCAAAGACACTTCCGGCAGTTCTAAAGAGTTTTCCCCTCTTCACAACCTGAACTGCTGCTAACTTCTTAACTTCCACATTTATATCTAATTAGCATTTCCTATCCAAAACTTTCCCAGGTGGAAAATTAAAACTAAGAGGAAAATGATTCAGCATTGCATATACTATAAATTTGCTTTTTAATAGACTGAAGCATAGAAGAAGCAGCTTCAACTTCACAGCTTCAAAATCTCCTGTGACTTGTGTTGTTCAAATTCAAGCTCTGATGGTGATTCTGAAGATTTAAACCATTTTTTTAGACTATTAATTATGCAAAGCCAACTATTATAAATTTTCAAATATGGTATGATGTTATAGATTCTTTGTTTTATATTTGCCTTGTTTAGAAATAACACACTCAATTTACAAACACCCAGAGAATTCATCCATATTTTGAAAAAACTGGAAATTTTCATAATGGAATTTACCTAAGAAATTAATATTTTTTCTGTTTATTACACAGAATACTACAGTTTCGTCTCTATAAAAAAAAATTCAAGGAGACTTTGAGGCCTTATGATGTAAAGGATGTGATAGAGCAATACTCAGCAGGGCATCTTGATATGCTTTCCAGAATAAAATACCTTCAGGCAAGGTAAGAATCTTCTGGTAAATGTATAGCTTTGCTGGCAAAATGAAAACATTGGCCTGTGAGAACAATATGAACAAAATGAAAACATTGGCCTAACAAGACTACCTAGAAGCCACGGCTTTGCATGATGTAGCTGGTCCATGAGAAAACCTTTTCCCAAAGACAAAAGGCGAGTGAGAGCTAGCAGGGATAACTGCGTGGAGAGACCACTGGCTCAGATTTAGAACAAGGACATGAGAGTTAAAAACTCCTGTGAATTTTCTTGACCGTGCCTTATTTGATCAGGATCAAATTTCTCTCCTTCTCCCCATTTTACAGACGATAAATAAAAGCAATAGTTGCTCTTTATTAACTTTTCTTTGGGCTGGATTCTCTGATGATGTATGCCTAATGAAACATCCCATAAAAGTGCCAAAATACATCAACACAGAAGGTTTCACTCAGGTGTAATTGACCTATCTGAAAAAAAGAGAATTTCATGCCTCTGTGATTGTTCAGGTGCAATCTGCATCCACAGCTGTTTCCTCCCAGAAGAGGTTCATTGCAATGTGCTTTTGAGGCACATCTGCAAAAATTTGTGCTTCTCATCCTCTGATCCATGAGCCCAGGTCAGAGCTTGGGGCTGTAAGTCTGTGTGGGCCTGAGTGTCCAGATGTGTGTCCAGATGTGCATGCAGATGTGTGCAGCTGTCTGTGCTCAGTCTCTGCACAGCACATTTCCTGAGACCCTCAGTGACTCTGAACAGCAAAATGCCACACAATCACCTTCATTTCTCTCAAGAATGGGCTGAGGGGGTGCAACATTTGTTGCACATTTGGGCCTTGTCTGTAATTACCTTGGCTTTGAAAAGCTGCTCTGATCTTTCTGCTGAACTTTATAATTTCTTATTTCAAAATCATTTCCCATGCACTGGGCTATCTCTTTTTCAAGTATTTAGCATGTCTGTCAGCAATGCCTGGGGATTCAAGCCAATATCTAGCTAGCTTTGTGAGGCTTGCCTGGAGCTTTTTCAAGTTCCATTTTCAAAACTCCATGGGGCACTGTGAAACCATGCAAGGAATCTACATGGATTGTCCACTAATAGAGATAACTGGTCTGTTGACTAGTGCTGATTGAGATGTGGCCATTTTGGGGGGTGAACTGAATAAACAGACATTTACTTTCACCTGAGCAGGTGGAGATGACAAATGAAAGAATATTTGATATAGTAAAAGTATAATTACATGTGTTGGAGCATTCCAAACAATCTTTATTCTTTTGTGCCAAATAAAAAATTGAGTAGACTTCCTTATGCAACTTCATTTAAAGTTATGTTTTTCAAGCCAAAAGAATAATTAGTAAAGAGTAAAATATTGCTGACAATTAGGAACAACAACTGACAGAATGTTATTGGTTTGTTAGGAATGTCAGCAATTCCACTTTTTGCCAAGTTCTGATTTTCATTACCCTACAGAAAATCTGATGGGTCTCCTGACATTTTTAAGAGCAGCTGCTATTGGATATTTTTTGACAATCATGCTGTTTGGTTCCTTTGAATGAAAAGAAGTTGTGTTTCAAATGTTGAAGTCTGGAAACAGTGACCTGAAGCATTATTAATTACTATTCAATTACCAGGTAATTGCAATTCAGTGCATTGATTGTGACCCAAAAGAGAGCAGACACATCATGAACCTCAATATGTTACCAAATCAACATGTGCTTCCTTTTTGAACCTTTGCTGCAGAGATGCACAGCATATTCTGTCATGTGTTAGCATTTGGAGATGGACTTACACAGTTGCACTTTTCTTTTTTTCAGAGTAGATATGATTTTTACACCTGGACCTCCATCTACTCCCAAGCATAAGAAATCCCAAAAGGGAGGAGCTTTTTCTTACCCTTCACAACAGTCTCCCAGGTAAATTCTTTTATACCTAGTATTTAGCACAGCCCAACACAGAAATAAAAAGTTAATTCATTCCAATTAACATGATCTTTGTCCATTCACTGTTATAATAATGATACTAAGGGGATATGTTGCCCTGAGATACATGTGGATAAATATTGATCCAGAAAGTCACTAAGAGCAACAGGTGATGGAAATCTAAACAATGGCTTCTTAATTGTCCAGCTCAGCTTCTCCACAGTTTGAAAATATGGTTTTAAATTAAATGCATGCATTTGATTGCTGATGTGCTAATTTTCTAACATGTAACTTGTAAACCCACTTAAAAGCTCAATAAAAATCATTAATAGTTTGAAAGTAAATTAGTTATCTTCCTGAAGTGCCCACCAAATGACAAGCAGAGATTTTTAATGCTGCATTTTTAAATCAGTGATTGATGAGAGATACTCAAAACAAATTGAAATAACAGATTTCTGTGTGTGAAAGTTGCACCATATTATTGTATTGCTGCATTCCACATAGAAAATTCCAATAATAAATGACATTTCTTCTGTTGTTTGCAACTATCAATCTGTCAATAAATATCCATCAAGAACCACACAAGACCATCAACAATCTGTCCCCAAAGCTGTTGTGGTTGCTCTGAACAAAAGCAATCTTACAGAAAATAAATTATCCCACACAGGGAAAAATATGAAACCATGTACATGTGAAGAAAGAGACCTAGGTATATGGAAGAGGCAGTGATCATTTGGGGAGGAAAGCAGATTGCAAAAATTGCATGAGCCCATATCACCACTAACCCAATGTGGAAGATCTGAAATGTTTTAGGTATAGATTTTTTGGTACAATTTATTCTCAGCTATATTGTGGATTTTGTTAGGAAAGAGAAGAACTGGCCATGTTAAAAGCCTTAGAGTATATTTGTTCCAAATCATGTTAAAGAGCAAGTGCTCAGAAATTTTTCTTCTAGACCTATCTAGGAAAATATTAATTCCTTTAACATCAGTTTGGAAACTTTTATAAACATTTAGCTTGATCATGAGAATCCAAGATCCCATGAAGTTATAAATCAAGCTCTTTAGTTAGAGATCATCTTCTTATCTAATGAATTTGGTCCATCTGATGGACAGGCAAGAGGAAATTGCATAGATGAAAACCTATTCTGGAATCAGCTTTAAATCTCCAGACCAGACTTTTCAGCATTTCCAATCTCTGACACTTACTATTTGATAGAATGAAATTGAGAAAAAAAAAAACACTCATCCTTGAAACTCAGATTCAGTCTCCAAAGACTCTAATTATAAAGAATTAGATTTAAAAACACATGGCCATCTGTAGACCCACTAACTGCACTATCTCAATAATTTTCACAAACCTGAAATTTTTCCAACAAGTTGGAGATTAATTTTAATTTTCTTTTGAACTTCTGGTGCTTTTAAATCTTTATTTTAATCTTGAAAAACAAAAACATACAAAAAAATTTTAGATCTAGATTATATTTTTTAGGCATGCATTGGCATCACATACAATAGACTTTCAATCCTGTATATATTTCACTCCTATATATATATATATATATTTGTATAAACAGCTAAAAGGGCTCCAAGGATCTATATGAATAAATCAACAAGATGGCAATTCTGTTTTCTGTTATAAATTACTTACTGTGATACAAAGAAATATTGAACACTAATAGAGTTAATAATTATTTCCAGAAATGAACCATATGTAGCCAAAGCATCTACAGCTGATACTGAAGACCAAAGTATGATGGGAAAATTTGTTAAAGTTGAGAGGCAGGTAAGTAATTTCATGACAATAACAGACGCTGAGGTGCTTGTTCAGAAACGACAGAGCTGATATAAATTCCACATGACTCTGGCTGACCCAGGCAGAATTGTGCTGCTGGTGATGAAGACTCACAGAAATCTTTTTCTAATGATCACAAAACTATGTTGCTAATTTTTCATGAAAGAATTTGCTTACCTGGGAAGTGTGCCTTTTGAACTTGTTGAATCAATGTCACTGTGTATGGCAGAAGATCCTAACCATGATATTGAAGTGTGACTTTCTAATTCCTGTAGCGTCAGTACCCATCACATCTGATGTTTGGTGTGAGCAAGGCCTTTTCCTGCAGGGTCTGGACTCAAAATGATTGTCCACTCTTGGGCCCTATCCAAAAGAGAAAGCAAACTAGTCCTGATATGTAACCTTACATGTTGTGGGACTGCAAGATAGTGTTAGGGGAAAGGTCTTATTCTGAGGCAGTTAGAGGATCAGCTGTTATCCATTTCAGCCCAGCTTTGAGGGAAGGTCATGGTTATTGTATGAACCTCCATGACCAAAAAACATGGCAGCACACCATGGTACATGTATGGAATCATGACTCTTTTGAACAACTGAATTGAGGCAATATCATAACATTGGTATTTTTCAGGTAAATGATATGGGGAAGAAACTGGATTTTCTTGTTGATATGCATATGCATCATATGGAACAGCTGCAGATACAAGTTGCTGAGATAAGTCCATTGAAAGAAACCGCTTCTCCTGCAAGGGAGAAGAGAGAAGAAAACAAATATTCTGAATTAAAAACAATAATATATAAATACACTGAGCAGTGTTCTCGTGAAACTCCTTACAACTTCCAGCAGGTTCCAGTCAACAAAGTCAGTCCCTATGGTTTCTCAGCACGGGGTCATATGGCTCACTCACAACCTTTATCAATAGGTGGGCAAAACTCTGGCAAACTGCAAGCCACACCTTCCTCAACTTCATATGCAGAAAGGCCAACAGTTTTGCCTATATTTACATTAATGGACTCCCAGGTTAGCTACCACTCCCACGGGGACCTTCAAAGCCCTTACTCAGACAAGGTGTCTCCAAGGCAGAGAAGGAGCCTAACGAGAGACAGCGATACTCCATTGTCCCTTCTCTCAGTCAACCACGAGGAACTCGAGCGCTCCCCGAGCGGCTTCAGCATCTCCCAAGAGAGAGACGACTTCCCCTTCGGCCCCAACGGGGGCTCGGCGTGGATGAGAGAGAAACGCTACCTAGCAGAGGGGGAGACAGACACAGACACAGACCCCTTCACACCAAGTGGCTCCATGCCTTTGTCCTCTACAGGAGATGGGATTTCAGATTCAATATGGACCCCGTCAAACAAGCCAGTTTAAAAGTGTGTGTGGGGCAGTCACTGGCTGACTTCTCCTTGTAATGTAAGCATACTTTGTATATCTCACTTACTCTACACCCAAAGCTTACTAGTTCCAAACACCAATGGCTGCATAAGATGCATGTGATATTAGTGGTAGTCATTCTGCACCATTTCATACAATTTACTAATGCAGTTTTTTTCATGCTATCAAAACTAAGGAGCTTAGTTTTGAGCATGGTTTGCATGACTTTGCCCTATATAAATGGTACAGCTGATTTCTTCCATGATACATATCTATCTGGTACTCTTCAACACAACAATGGTGAATTGATAACAGACAAGATACAGTGGTCCTTGCTACATTTTGTAAACAGAGCAGCAAAATAAAAGATTTTCAGGAACGATATCTCTTTGTGGAAACATAATGTCTGAATCATTTTCCATTATAAGCAAATCAATCTCTAATCAACTATGCCAATGATTTCTAATATCAAAAGCCGGGGAAAACTGACTTAAAGTATGACCTTATTGAAATGTCTTTGTGAAGTAAATGTTTCTCATGTGATCTCTGATATAATTACCCCTGAAATACAATGTTGAAATGAAATTAAGGGTAGGATTTTAAATCATCAAAGCCACCTCCTGGGATTGATCATAGACATTTATTTATTGTAAAATGTAAATAGAAATCCCTCAAAATACTTTGAAAATCTTCACTAGTGTTTATAGAATTGCTCAAAGTCGGATTATAATGCTTTTTTTTTAGAAAATCTTTTGCTAAGTCTATTTGCTACTTATGGGGCCAAATTTTCTTTGTTACAAAAATAAGGTTGTTCACTGTAGAGAACTCCAGGTTTATACACTCCACTCTTCTATTGACTTAGGTGCTGCTAAGTAAGAAGCAGAATGTAACTCAGCCTCAGTATCCCAATCTATTAATTGGGAGTTACACTTCCACACATGCTCACAGGTTGAAAGGCTCAATTCTCTAATATTTGCCGAGTGCTTTGAGCTCCTCAGATGTGCAGAAAATTGCTATTCTCTTCCCTGCAAGTTCTACAGTGTGAGATGCTGCCAGGATCTGTTTCTCTCTGTTTACCATTTCTCTTGGAAATGGAGTGCTCCAAATCCATGAATGTGTGCTATATATAGGATTAATGTATGAATAAATAATCACCATTTTTTTCATGTGACCCTGTGCAACAGAGAGATAAGCATGCTCCCTAGGCCTCAGCCAAATATTTTTTAATGGAAGTTGGAAATTATTGAGAAAGAGGAGACCAGGAAAAACACTGGATCACTGGAAGGAAATGAATCAAAGATCTCACCACTACAGTGGGAATGTAGTACCTATAAAGCTAGTGAAACTGGCATATCCAAATAACCTCTACAGGTCTTACGTGGTGTCAGTCAATGTGTCTGTGAAATAGCATCCGTGTGGTGTCCAGCTTGGTGGCTGTACACTCTTTACAGCTGGTGGGAAATGAAGGAGTACAGTCAGTGAGCACAGGGTACAGCAACAAAGGCACACATCAAATTCAGGATGAGATTAATCTCTCCTTTGACTCAGTTATCTACAATGACCAAATGTCTACCAAATTCAAAGAGAGCAGAAGGTGACTTGCTTAGATATCAGATGATCAGAGACCACAAAACCAGTGTTAATTGTCTCACCTCTCCCCCACTGATCCAAGGTGCAGCCTCTCTACCATGGCTCATCCCCACCTCATGTCCAGGACAATCCCTGTCACTCCACACAATGACTTCCCCACTGTGGCCAGGGCACTGACCAACAAAGATGGCAGGATTTGGCCCAAATAAGGTGTTACAAAAGGGACTTTCTGCAGAGACTGCTTGTATTGCACTGCAGCTGCACAACTGGGCATCTTTGGCACATCCAGTCTGAGCCAAGAACATGTTACTGGGCTTCCCGGTGCTTACTGGGAATTGCACAGCCCTGGATGGAAAGTGCTCCAATGACAATGTTTTGTTGGGTTTTTCTGACCATATTAAACTTTTGGTTTAATTCCTCAGCATTGTTGACATCTCATAGCAGTCGTTCCATCCAGGGAATTCTGTTCTTTCCCAGATGTGGGCATTGCCTTCATCTTCATTGTTTGTTCTCTATTGGAAGAGACATCTAAAGGATTAGGATCTTCTTACTTCATCTGATTCTTTAGCTAAATCACGTTTCATCCTTCTGGGATGGATCTTCAGGAAGAACAAATTGCTGTTGTTACTGGATTAAATACTGCAGACCAGTTACAGCCTTTGAAGACTGGGCTGAGTCCATGGAGCTGTTCTGAAGCCAGTAACTATGATGGTATGAGGCACAATTTTGGTAATTACTTAATTGACAAAATATCATTGACCTGAAAGATAATCTGTGTTTGGCACAGTTTTGTGGCTAAATTTACAAAGAATAAAACTAAATGACCAAATTGTAATTCGTTATAATTTGGAATAATTGAGAATTCTTTGGCCCTTATGATTCTTGGAAATATCTGCGTCTTACCTGTTACAGCTTTCTGAAATAGTAATAGATGTCTGTGGCAACTTGTGAGATTTAACCTTCACATGACAAGAAAATGGAAAAGAATGAAAAAAATTTTAATATTACTACATTCTGAAGTGTATGTAAGTATGTGCTAGACAAGCCTGCTTCAGTTTTCTTGTATGTAAAGGGCCTGTTGTTCCTACTGATTTAATCTGAATTTCATCCTTCTTTAAATGCTTCCTAGAGCTAAGCAATCAAAAATGAAGGCAGCCAAAAAGCAGGTGCAGGCTGATCAATTTGTTTGTGACTGTCTTTGACAGTGGCTATGCCATGCAGTTCCCTGTTCAATTCCCACTGAAATTCTTCAGTTCAAGTTTCTGTTCTTTTTCATTACAGGTTAAACAAAAGGAGTCTTTCCTCAGTATTAAACCTGGTTGAAAAATCCATAAATAGCCTCCTTATCAAGTTGTGTTCTTTCCAAGAGAAAATCCAAGCAAGGGCAGAGACTTGGATGAATATTCACCTGCACACAGCCCCAGAGAAAGTAGGATTTGGGCTGCCCTGCACTCTGCACACTTAGCAGATGAACTGTCTTGAAGTTAGTATTTTCTCTGGCCTGCAATCACCAATTTGCAATATGCATCTTTAAGGTCAGGTATTTGTAGTCACATAATGAAATATTTAATGATGCCAGACAAGATCTGCCTCTTCTTAAAAAGCACTGGTGATAAACTCAGCAAGATCCTCTGCACTATATATTTATCTATGGTTCCTGGAAGGAGATCCAAGAAATGAGGCAGGTAGATCTGATTGGCTTATTTTAATATTTATTTTTCTTTCTTAGCACTGAAACCTGTCACTGCTCTGTTCATAAGGGTTCTGTTCTTAGCAGCTCTCTGCCACTTACATCACCGGGGTTAAAAAGGGCATCCATCAGTTCTGCTGTCTGTGTGATGACAACAGATAGGTGTCAAGGTGTCACCAGCAAGGTGAGATCTGGAGACCATCCCTGATCTGGGATGTGCACAAAAATTCATCAGACTCCAATCAGGGTGAGTCCAGGGAATGCATCCACCTTGGAACTGTGGTTCATATGCCAGCCATAGGTACTGGACAAAGCAAAATAAACTATGTGTGATCCCAGTAACGTTAAGAATGTCAAGACCTGTTTCCACACACAAGGAATCTCTATTCACAACTTCATTTGACCCAGAAAGGCATCTGGGTCAATAAGAGTCTTCATAGTAGGAATTAATTAGATTTATACCTTCTTCTGCATGATGTTTCAGTTTAAGAGTTATCAATTCTCTTTGGGTCAGACCTTTCTAGCATCTTGACTGACACTAACACTTTGCTTGTATTTAACATTAAAAAGTATTAAATTACTTTGATGACTCTCATCTCATTTCAGGCCTTGAGATATTTTTTTTGTAATTTGAAACTGTGGAGCTTTTCTCTGCTCTCCTTGAAGTAACTTAAAAACCTTCTCACAGTGATGCACTGGGAGCAGGGCTGGGTTCTAATCTGCCATTATTTACAAATTTCCTTGTGAAGGACAGCACTGATCTGGAGACATTTTTCTTGGCTACATTTTGAGAGTGATTTTCAGTCCCCGCCAGATGTCTGGCAGTTTTCAAAAAGGTGAATCTGTGTTTACATTGTGTGCCTCTCTTTGCAGCATTATTATCAATTAAGCTTCCTCATTTTAGAAGCAACTGGGACTATTTGATTAAGGCAAAAGTGAATGCTTTGTTGAAGTATGAAGGTATGATAAATATGGTGTATGCTCTACTTAGAGAGTTGGCACTTTAAAAAAAAAAATCTAGTCAGGTAATGGCTGTTGTCCCTGCCTTGGATTTCCCTGCCCTGAATTTATCACTCTGGCTCCTATCTAAAATAAAAGGGAATTCAACCCATAGAGAGATTGATTAAAAAGTCCCTAAATTGTCTTATGGCTATATTTGCTCTGTTTTTATCTGTAATGTTGCTGCATTATTATGGTCCAGAGTGGAAATAGTTTAAAGTTTTTCTGTTTCAAACGGTGGCCCATGAGTGCTGCAAACTAAAGCTCACCTGAATCCGGGGGTAGCGGGGCCTTGTGGCCTTCAGGAGAGAACCAAGGTCCAACCAGATTGCAAGACTACAGCCTAAAGCAATCAGAAAATGCAGTGAGGAGCACCCTCACCCCTGCAGGGAGCCCAGCTGCTGCAGAGGTGTCACATCTGCTTGGGTAAGAACTGAATCTGTCCTGATCACTGCAGAGCATGAGAGGAAAGAGCTGGATCTGGATTCCTTGCACCCCACAGCCCCCAAAACTGAGCTCTAGGTGTCTAAGAGCTGCAAACCTAAATTTCCTACAGCACCTCGTGAATTTGATGGGATGTCACTTTTTCAGGAGCACAGCTGGATGTGAGTGCTCCATTTGAAGATTATTTTAGGAGGTGCAGAGGAAAAAGGAGCATTTTCAATGTTTTAGCTGGGCACTCTGGGTATTAAATTCCTTCTGGTTTTCTAGGCTGTAA